GTGGGGGAGGAGGGATGGAGGTGAGGGGAGGGAGAGGGAGAAGGGACTTACATGTGAAACAAGCTTGTTCCCTAACTTGAACTAATAAAAAAAAGAAAAATAAAACAAAAACCAAGAGATTGACATTTGCATTATGTAAAGTTTCCTTCCAATGGTATCATTCCATAGCCATAAGCCAACTCCAAACAGTGCAGTGTATGCTGCTGTGTTCCAGTGGCAAGCTGAGAATAGTGGTAAATAATTTTTATAGGCTCTCACTTGCTCACTGACTGAGAGACGAAAACACTGGAGTCAAATCCCTTCATAAGGTAAAGTTTTACATCACTGATTTCTGACAAACTTTCTGGAGCTCATTCAGGTAAACATCTTAAAATGACACAGGTAGGAAAGTGCCATTATTAAATGGAACTATGTGAAAGATGGTTCATGTAAGTAAGAAAACAGAAATTCACAGAAAAGGAAATTTTATTATTTTTAAATGTACTAACTCAAGCTAACAATAGATAAAGACTGTATGAGTAAAAAAAATTAAACAAGATTTTTAAAACATAACAAAAATGTCTCTATATTATTCATTGGACTTACTTATGAAGAAAAATTTAAGGAGACTAACCTATAGAGACTACTATAAGATAATGTAATATATGAAAGGACTATAAAGCTTTTAACTAAATTAAGAATCACAACCACCCTCCCCCCCCAAAAAAAAAAAACCCTGTCCACATTATCAGAAAATCAGGGAAAACATTCTGAGTCAGTCGAATACAAATGAACACTTTATAATTATTAAATTCTATTTATGCTTTAGGATTTCTAACCCTTTTAATTAGAAATCATTTTAGTCCTTCAACTTGTTCTTCATAACCAATAACAAGTCTTTACATCATTCGGTATACAAACCTTCGTCTAATCTAAACTTTTCGGCAACAGTGCAGTCCTAGGACAGTTTGCAAATTTAAAAGTCAAAACAGCATGGATTAATTAACACATGTTTGTTTATTTAGAAAAAAGTCTACCTTCCCCTCATCCATGGGATTATCACTTATATGGACAACAGGACCTGGGTGAGATTTAGATGACCTGCAAGAAAAAAATAAAAAAAAAAAAGGCTTTTTACTCTATTAAAAGTTTCAGTATTCACCACAATAAAAAAACACTAATTTATGAAGAGAATAGTTAAGTTGCCAACCAATGAAAAATGGTGACAATCATATGGCTTTAAGTTAAAAAACTTGTTAATTGCATTTTCTATATAGAAAAGATAATCTGTTTAGTCAAACATTTATTTTAGCATAGAAAATCTCTTTTCATTGTGAAGTTAATATTTGAAAACAATGAAACATTTAATGCTGGGAAATCCCAACCAATTTGAGCTCAAGACAGAAGTAGGGAAAAATTACATTTTATTTTTATTTTTTGAAAACCCAGAAGTCCATGGTACTTATAGAAATACCAGAGAAAGAGAGAGCATACAGGTAAAAATATAACTTGATTGTTGCCCACACATTTGGAAAACTTATATCCCTTTTTGTGAATGCTGGAGGCTGGGACACTGTACCACTTCAGAAATGTGAATACTTAGACCACATCTACCCACTAGATGTCATGAACAACTAAAAGAACAAACTGAAAACTCATTCCTCTAAAGAAGGGTAGAAACATCCTTGCCACAGAAAGGTAAACCAGCTTCTCTAGCTAAACCAAAACGTTGTCTGGTTTCTCTGTTAAAAGAGTAAAACTGTGGAATGTACTTAAAAAGAGCCTTGCCAACAGCTTTATTCTCATATTTAAACCTTTAAATTAAAACTTACAAAAAGAGATGATATTAAAAAAAAAAACTTTCAGGAAGTGAAAATTAACACTAGAGATTCTTGGCACCACAGTTCAATCTCTTTTTAATTTTGTCAATCTTGGTGATATACTAATTTTAACAAACATTTACATTGCATGACTATTAGAAAATATAAAAGAAAAATAATTAAAAGGTTAAAGAAAAATGAAATAGAAGATAAAAGAAAAAAAGGAATATTTTCAACCTAACAGGAATAACTACTACATTGCAGCTATTCAATGTAACAGTTTACACACAGATGAAAATACATAGTATTATACATTTATAAATATATATGAATATAAAAAGCTTTAAATATATCAATTGCCATGACAATCGGATAATACTTATTTAAAAAAAAGAACACCAAAGATCTATATATAATATCAGGAATGCCTGACATATCAATCCCACAGGGATTCACTAACACCGAGTTATAAGATACTGATACTCATATATGGAGTTGATGTTCAGACTTACAGTTCAATGGCTTTATTCCACATAATGACATAGCCTGAGAGTGTGAAGGACTCCACATTGACAATATGTATATTACCTCGTTCAGTGCCCACATAGAGCCACTTACTCTGGAAAGGCAGATGGCAAAATGTAACCCTGCCAGAGAAAACAGACAGAAAGGAAATTAGAAGATTATCTGATACATTGCCCTGACCGTATTAGATGGTTAGTTATGAGGCAATTCATATATTTATTATATATAATAATTATATATAAAATTTAAAAGGCAAATGTAAAATAATTAGATTTATAATTAGACAAGGCAAAACTGACAATGAAATAATCAGATTCATCTATTCATTGAGATTAATATTTAATAATGCTCATTTAACTTGTATGTCTAACGTATTGCCTCACAGTAAACACTAAGGCATGATCCAGACAGAATGGTTTTGAAGTAAGAATATGTTTCAAATCTGGCTACATTATCCACTGTATACACATGGGTACATTACAGATCTAACTTTTAAACTACACACACACAAGCCCCTAATTTATGTACTTACACAAACTTGCTATATTAAAGTTGGTTTTTGTTTCTCCTTCCCCCAAATTTGATATTCCTGTTAAGTTTTCTTATCTTTGTATCATGTTTCCAAAATAAGCAAGACATGAAAGATTTGAGGTTGGGAAAGAGTTCCGTTTTTTTTGTTTTCTAATTTTTAAAAAATAATTCTCTCTCTCTCTCTCTCTCTCTCTCTCTCTCTCTCTCTCTCTCTCTCTCTCTGTGTGTGTGTGTGTGTGTGTGTGTGTGTGTGTGTGTGTGTGTGTGTGTGTGTGGTATACTTGCAGATATGTCTACACCACAGTACACATGTGCAGTTCTGGGCACAATTTTCCAGAATCAGTACTCTCCTCTACCATGGGTTCTGGAGATCAAATTCAGGTTGCTGGTCTTCTAAGGCAGGGCCCTTGTACCTGCGGAACCATGTCTTTTACTTTGTTCTTTGTTTTTCAGTCAGTGTCTCACACATGTAGTGCAGGTTACCCTGTCACTTAACATGTACATGTCTCTTCACACATGACTTCTGGACTCATATGTGGGTTTCAGTCTATTTGTTCTCTCTCGGAAATTATTGTTCCTAATTTCTAGCAGGGGTTCCTACTAAAACAAGTACACCACTTTCTATTTCTTTTTCAAAATTATACTATCTTGCATATTCTAGATTTTTCTTTTGCTATGTAAGTTTTAAAATAGTGAACAACTTTTTTAAGCTTCTGTGGATGGAAGTTCCTGTCCCACAGGGTCCTGCTGCCCTTTAGTCCCAAATAAACACACAGAGGCTTGCACTAATTATAAACTGTTTGGCCTATTGCTCAGGCTTATTACTATCTAACTGTTACAACTTAAATTAACCCAGAATTCCTATCTATGTTTAGCCATGTGGCTTGGTACCTTTTCTCAGTCTGGCTGGAGACTGCATCTCTACCTTCCTCTTCTCAGAATTCTCCTAGTCTGGTAGCACTGCCTATATTTCTAGCCTGGCTACTGGCCAATTAGCATTTTATTAAACCAATATGAGTGACAAATCTTTACAGTGAACAAGAGTGTTATCCTACGTTAAGCTTCTGATTGCAATGCTACTCAATTTATAGCTGAATTTTGGCTACCTTTGTGAGTACTGAATTGAGACTATCACTGGGCGACACACAACAGGAGGCAATCACTCCTTTTCTTTCTGATCTATTGATAGGAAATAGTTCAGCAGTGAGGGTAGGGCTTCCTGGGCTGCTCCTTTATCCATGCCTGGCTGTTAACTTGTTTTTATGTTTGACTAATTGTACAAGAATTAGGTAGCTCTTTCAGTGTAAGCTTATTTTAGCTCTAAGTTTCCTTCAGCTATACCTGACCACACCTTTCCCTCCAAGGTTCTGTTTTTACTATTATTTCCCCAGCAATTATTTCAAGGACACCTCTATGTCATTCACCTAATCACAAACTCAGCCTGCTGCCTTCAAGTGTCCTTTTTTTTCCCCCATCAATTAATCTTAACTTCAGTTGGGGAAACAGAAATGAGAACTGGCACTAAAACATCAAATCTAAGGTAACTGGAAACAAATAATGCATGAACTGCTTATTTTAGGCACCTAAACAGAACAAAGTCTAACAAACCGTATCAATAAAAATAAGGTAAAATAAAATAAAAAAGACACAGTAAGCATAAAAGAGAACACGAGCACCCAATACAATGGGTACAAGTCTCTGATCTTCATGGCATAGATGCTGGATCATGAAACGGAGTCAAGGAAACCTCCAATTGGAGAACCAGTGAAGAGAAGGCAGCACATGTCTTTGCTGTGCAGCCACGTCCTCCTGTCACCCTGTCCTCTTTTCTAGTCTGAGCTAGGAGTATTTTTACTGAAACTGGTTTCTCACTAACAAATTAAATAAATATATACTACCAGGTCTCAATCCACTGCACACAAGTCCCACCATCTTCCAAGAGTGAACTTCTAGCCTCTCTCTAAGACACGAGGATGAGATTTTAAAGTTTATATAGGCCTTCAGTCTGGTCGAGAGTGGTAGGATTGCCTTTTATTTCTTAAAGGAACCTCTTGTGAAAATAAACAGTGAGGAAATTCTGAGACATTCTGTGTAGCCATCATCTTCTATTTTTTCTCTACACTACATTTTCAAAAGTATTCTCTCCTTCGCCACCTCCACTGAAGAGAGAATTCTACTCAAGTTCTGGATCCTTTTATTTGTTTTCTTCAATTTAGCCCTATCTACTTGCATTTTATCATAAAGAAGCAAGGAAAAAATGCCAAGTCACACCTTCAACCTCATCCTGGGAAATACCAACTAAAAATAAACACTAATTGTGTACTCACTATGAAGGAGACAGTTCTCAGAAGCTTTCTGGCCATTTAAAGAGGAAGCACTTTCCCCAGGTTCCACTAGCATGTTCCTCAGTCTATTCTAAGTTCCACTGGCAACCAACAGACGGGTGTGCCAGAGTACTACAAATAGCCTTTTGTAGGCAACTGTAGGCTTTTCCCTCGTGTTCCTCAAAATTTAAGCCCTATCCACTCCACCCACTGCCACATTCAAAAACCACTTTGATATGTTTGGCCAGACAACAAGCACATGGACAACACAAGACTATTTTCTAGTGATGTCACAGTGGTCCTAAATTCATTTAGATTCATTCTTCCATGCTGTTGCGAAATATTTTTCTCTAGACATAGTATGGCTGCTACCACCTGGAAATTAGAGCACAGTAATGACCCAAACCAGGGACTCGAAAGATGTGGCCTATGATCCTCAACAAGAATTATAATCCTTCCATTCCTTCCTTCCCTCCCTCCAGCCTCTCTTCACCCTGCACATGATTCAGCCTCAGCAGCAAGTGATTTGGAGTGGTACTAGAGAAGACAAGAAGGAGGAGGTCAACTCTAGGCAGAATTACATCTATGCAACTTTCAGAAGCTGGTCATCTGTCCTGGGATGGGACTTGTTTCCATGATAAAGCTGTTTTGGTATTACCCACATTCTGGAAACCTTTCACCCAAGCTCCTGTAATACAGCCCTCTATACTCACTTGGTCAGCAAGCTTGACTTTGGAGGAATCGTTGTTTTGCTCTGTCACTGGTACCAAGTGAGTAGATGTCTATTTCTCACAAGGAAAAGTACCAACAGATGCTTGCAAAATGAAATCATAGGATGATTCATTTTTAGAACACAGCCCCTTCACTAAGTGACACCGTATTCAGATTCTAAAACCTGTAGTGGTTTTTACTGCTGTGTATCAAATCACTATAAACTCAGTGAATTCAAACTCAGTTTCAGTTTCTTTTAAACAGATGTCTGGACCCTGCATCTGGAACCTCTGCTTGGTAACACTGAAGCCTGAAATGCAAGTTATTGGGCAGCCAAGCTGCATCCTAAATACCTTTCCAAAAACTGTGAAACAGTGTTCTCCAAGCTCAACCAGGTTGCTACAAAAATTCAACTTTGCAGCTGCAAGACAGTCTACATGCCCTAGCTCTCCCTCACCCTTCAATGTGGCTCACTCCATCTTCAAGGCCAACACAGAACAAGGTTCTTCTGCTGAATCCATCTTAGATTCTAAGCTTTGTGTGTCAGGAAGACTCTGGGTCCATTTAAAAGATTAAGTCAGAACCAGTGGGGATGTGAACTAAACTGGGTATTTAGTCACACCTCACTTAGATGAAAGCTGTTTAACAAAGGATAGGTATGTGGTGTCAGGCAGATGCTTAGGTCCCATGCTAGCACCTGCCTCTCACTCTGTCATACTTGGAATGGAGCCCTCATGGAGCACATGGATACCACTATCACCACAGCTTTTCCAGATTGGTTGGAACACTGTGTTTTTACCAGCAGGTCATGAGAAATTCAGTTTCCTTGCACTTTCTGAAAGTGACTGTGGTTTTAGTATTTTCCTGATGACAATTTTTTTCTTTAAAAATAAGTGAAAAGGACCACATAATTATTTCATTGCATGTTTTAAATCCCCAAATCTGAAGCACTACTCCTACTGTCCATCCTTCCTGCCAGCCACAGGATGCAACAGTCAGTCTGTCCATGGTATGAATATAATGAACTACACAATTTCTTTTACCAACCACTGTCTAAGAATTTTATAAGGGAGGGAGTTCATTTATTCATTCTTTTGTTTTTATGTTTTTACAGGACTTATTCTACTGAATAAAAGACATGAACCTAGTCTTGTATTTATGTTTTGTTACATGGCCCCTCCTTTCATCTAACCTTTCACCTAATCTCAGAAGTTATCCAACACTTTCTTATCATCTTTTCTTCTACAGTTTCAAAGTCATCAAATGGTGACTCTTTTTCTTTGACTCTTTAAAACATTGTCTACACCCAGGTTCTAAAACAACTTGTGTCTGCATCAAAAGCCGGTCTTTGTGTGGATCAGGGTTAGGTCTGGAGCAGGAGACTGCATCCAACCAGCTTCGGAGCAGTGCTGAGGGTAGTTCTCATACTCTCATTTTACAGCCCTGAATCTTACCCAATCAAATCTTTCATTTCTATGGCTGTACCCTTTTCACTAAGCTTCTTTCAAAGAAAAGTATTTTATCTGTGGTGTGGTGGTGCACACCTTTAATCCATC